TTGCTTTAAACAAAGTTAATACTAGAATTCTACTCATATACAAACATTCATAGCAGCTGTATTTCTTAATATCCAAAACATGGAAACTACTTAGATGGCTTTCAAAGAGTGAAAGGTTAAACAGACTATCAATAGTTAAACAAGCCATGGTATTTCTATACCATGGACTACTACATTAAAAGGAATGAACTGTTGATACATGCAACAACTTGGATGAATTTCAGATGCTCTGCTGACTGAAAAAAATCCAATCTCAAAAAAGTTTACATTACATGATTCCATTTGTATAACTGTTGTAAGTAACATAATTATAGAGTTGAGATTAGGTTAGTGGTTTCCTAGGTTAGAAATGAGGGAAGCGAGGGGATGACCATAAAGGGTTAATGTGAGGGAATCTTCTGGTGGTCATGTAGTTGAATGTCTTGATTGTGATGGTATGTGACAAAATTGCATTTTATTTTATCCTATTCCCCTCTCAAGCACACTTTGAAATGTGTAAATAATGCATGAATATATTTTCATGAGAATTCAAACAATATCGAGTACTTGGTAAAAAAAGGGGGGCATATAAAGGACAGGTACAAGTTAGTATTTTTTCTTTAGAAGTGTGATGATGATGTTGTGTTTGTCATGACAGTTAAATGATGGAGAAATAATGAAACGATGCCATATAGTTACAGCTTTTTTGGTAGTTTCATATCATGTGGTGGGAAATGCAAGACAGCTGAGTATTTCAAACATGCCACATCTATTCCTGGGAATAAAATTCAACATACAGTTAGTTCTGATCCAGAATGTACATGTACAAGGAAAGTAATTTTTATTCTTAATACTGTGGCTATGTATGTAGGCAGAAACAGTAAAATACTGTATCAAAATAATAAAATACTCATGCAATTTTTACAGTTTCATTTATACGAAAATAGAAGGCTTGCATTTGTACTGCTTAGGTTTTTGCAGTCTGAATTAGCATATGGTATTAAATACAGTACATGTACATATGAAAATTATTGGGTACGTGCTGTTTAAAAATGAATAAAATAAACCTGGTCTTTAGGAATGAGTGAAGTAAGCATGTAGCTTGGTAGGGGAAATAGGTGTGTGAACAGATAAAATGCTATAACACCATACAGTGCAACGCTAGAACAGTTAAGGGTTTAGAGCCTTGGGAGAATGCATAGCACACTATATTTGCAGACTTCACTGAGGAGTTGATATCAGAGCTGGGTCTTAAAGATGAGTTCAAGATCTTCAGGAAAAACGGCATTCTTGATACTGGGAATGTTACATAAAGGTCATTATGTGTATAGGTCCTGAAAGGCTTTAGCATGAATGTGGTGGGAAATGAGAATGAAGTGAAATGATTGGCAAGAGAGCTAGATTGGGTCCAAGGACTCATATAACCATTAGTTACAATAGGTATAGGAATTAAGGCCCACAGTATTTCTAGAGATACATGAAAATGTGTTAACTTTTTTTTAAATTAGAGGGGCAAAATGAACTTTTAAGTTGAAAAAAGTGTTTAGTATCTAGTACTAATATCTTTATACAAACATATTCATAAATACAATTTTTGGTAGTTTTTTATGGAGGAGGGGACCCATGAAAACAAAAATTTGTTGAGCCTACAAAAGTAATTCTGTGGCTCAGTTGGGTGCCAACTCTATATAGGGTCTTACATGCTAATAGAGGAGTTTGGATTTCTATGTGCATTAGAGCGCTAATAAATTTTAAGTATGAGTAATTCTGTCTTTTATGAAAATGTTTTTGTCAGCAGTTTGGATGAGAGTATTTCCTCTTTGTTGTAGTTATGCTAAGCAGAATTGTTTTAATGTTTATTATAACCAAATTTACCTGTTAAAAATTAGAGGAGCATTTCTTTCCAGACTCCTGTGTAAGCACTGTATTTGGTAAATCTCTTAAAAGAAGTAATTGACAATACATGAGTGATAGAAATTTTTCTAGCTGTTGACAAATCACATTACCTATAAATAATAAATAAATTACCTATAAATAAGAAACCTGTAAATACGCAGGTCTCTGTATATAATTTATGTCAATATAATGCTAAACCAAAGCTTTTTCTAACTGTATTCTCCATTTTATCCATACTTTTATTACATTATAAAGAATTCAAAACTTTTTACAGATAGATTGCTAACATTGATTCTAACAAATAGCATTTAAAAAGCTAAAAGCACTGGTCTATAAAATGGATGTCTATTTTGAGGCTGGTTTAAGTTTTCACAAGAAAATCTTTATAATATATAAGAATTTGCTGAATTATAATGTGAAAGAGAAAACTTTTCTTTTTTTGGGGGGGGCTTTTTGTTACAGGGTCTCACTATGTAGTTGAGACTGACCTGGAACTCACTATGTAGCTCAGGCTGGTCTTGAATTGATAGCGATCCTCCTGCCTCAGCCTCCCGAGTGCTGGGATTACAGGTGTGCACCACCACCCTTGGCTTTGAAAACTTACTCTTTTTAAAAAATTTTTATTGGTACATTTCAGGTACATGAAAAAAATATTCTTAAAATAGCACATTATAATTGGTCTACTCTAATTTCCCCATCATAAAATAATACACAAGTAGGCTGAAATTATTTTAAGAAAAAAAATTTAGTGAAAACATGTTAAAGATATTATTCAGTCCTCTCCTTTTTTGTGGGGTGCTGGGGATTGAACTCAGCCAGTGAACTAAATCCCCAGCCCTTCCAGTTATATTTTTATTGCTTTGATATTCATTCATCTTGGTTGATTATTTCTGGTCTAGTTTCATGTAAATAATTTTAGAATTTTAGATTTTTATCAATTTAGGTAATAACTACCACTCCCCCTATTCACACATATATCTCAGCCTTTAGCTACTTTTCATCTGTAAAGGAAATCCAGTAAAAGCAGAAGTTTTTATTTTTCATCTATTTTTTCCCAGAAACATGTAACTTTGCTCTTTATTTTTAAATTATATAAAGCACTTTATTTGTAGTCTACTTGCTTCTAGGTGCTTTTAGAGCCCTACTCATTAAGTCAATAGTAAGCACAAAACTAGTCAAAGTGGATGACAGAAGAGGAGAGGGGTAAGATTAACATATCTTTGATGTAGAAAACTAGAGATACTGAGTTCATAAATTCATTCTGACCTTTCCAACATTCAAAACAAAAAGGAAACAATCATTACATAATTTTGGTGTCTGGTTGTAGGTAAGGAGCATTTTATCAAGGTGTGATGGGGAAAAGGAATTATGCCTCATGGATATATGCCATTTCAGAATTACAAGATGTTTTGAATCTCCTAAGTTTGACTTATAGCTTGAATCTAAGTATGACTCTGTTTTGCAGAAATAACTTTATATGTAGAAAAATATTTTATTAATTTTTATAATAATATGGTAAAATTTGCCAATCTGTTAATAACCTAAAGAGATGCCATTCTTAAGGGTGAAAGATAATCTAGTAAATAAGCTTATTAAAGGTATTTGAATATGGGACTACATGTGATAAAAATGTGGTAGAATCTTAAGTAGACTATTTTTGAATTCATATTTATAAATAGGTTGCACTATATATTTTGTCCATTTAGTGGATATTAGTAAATATCTTCCAAAAGACTGCCTAAAGTAGTTTAACAGTGTACAAATTGAGTGATAATTAGTTTTCACTAATTACTGTCTCTGATTTTGTCTATCCAAATAGACTATTACAGCCAGACTCAGTGCTCCTACAGTCTTAGCTATTGGGAAGGCTGAAGCAGGAAGATCACCTAAACACAGGAGTTCACGACCATATTGAGCAACATAGAAACTCCATTTCAGCATGGGGGAAAAGACCCAAACAGTTAGACTGCTGTATATAAGAGGCTTGAGGGATAGACATCTGTATTACCTAGTTGTAGTTAACTCTTATTGCCTAGCACAGTACTTTGAATTACCTTCCATTGTAATACATGTGGCAGGTCTATGTATATAAATTGACTTGGGCACAAACCGTTGGCTTTTTTCATTTCTTCTCCAGTGTTCTTATTTTTGTTCAGAAACATTTTAATCATCTACTTGCTAAAGTGTGATTTTATTAGATTTAGTATTCTGCCTAGTCAAACACATTAGGAAGTTCTACTTTAGGAAATTAAACAAAGATCAAGTATTGCTTTTGACAATCTTTACTTCTTTGATAGTCTCAACAATATTGGTAAATATTTGTTAGCTTTTAAGTTATATGGCAAATGTTCTATAGAAATCAGTTAGATTATGTGTGAATGGAGACAGATAAATCAGAATTAAAATTACATTAGGTTCTCTTCTCAGTAAAGGAACTGTGGAGTATTTCTTCTAGCTATTATGTTAATATTTTAAATAGTGGAATGTTATTTTCTTCTTGCCTACTAATAGACTTAGTTTTTAAAGCAGATTCAATAAAGTCTGCGTGAAATTCAGTCATTTTCAATGAACAATATCATGATTTAGGGGGGTAAATGTAGTTTTGTAGCCATTATTACCACAATCTAATTTTAGAATAAAATGTCACTCCAAAAAGAATGAATGTGCCCATTTGTAGCCATTCTTTTCATCCTTAGCTTATCATGCTTAATAACTTTTTGCAATTGATTATATGATAAAAACTGAATAGTAGATGAGGTCTCTAAGGCTGTTTATTTGTTTTAAAGGCTAATTTAGAACATGAATATTTTATTTGATATTTCTTTATTTGGGCACCAAAAGTATTTAATAAAAGAAAGAATGTTAAGAATGATTTGAGTAAAACAGATTGCTTTTGAGAAATGAATTTCAGGATTTGCTTCTTGTTTGAATGCTACAAATTAACCAGTAAGTAGAAGGAAGTTATTGAATAAATTATAAAGTTGCAAATTTATTCAGTGATTTGAATTTGAAGGATTTAGTAGTTAAATTTATAGTGTCATTCAAGTGAGACTAAGATTTTACATACTGTTTTGCAAAAATTATGATAAAGTTAACTTTTCATTATGTGATGTTCTTTATTTTAGGTTCCCAGAATCAAGAACGGCTATGTGCTTTTAAAGATCCATATCAACAAGACCTTGGGATAGGTGAGAGTCGAATCTCTCATGAAAATGGAACAATATTATGTTCAAAAGGTAGCACATGCTATGGCCTTTGGGAGAAGTCAAAAGGGGACATAAATCTTGTGAAACAAGGCAAGTAATAACTTTTCTTACCTGAAATAGATTTGTTTCATACAATTAAAGTTTATCCAAAAAAGACATAGTAAGACAGAAAAATAGTAAATTAAAAAATATGTATATGTCCTTTTATAACCCATAAGCCACAACTTTGTAAAAGAATTTTTAGCTTATTTTAATAACGTTTTTATTGTTATAATGTTGCTCAAGTGATATTTTAAACAGACAACTACAAAGGAAAGAATAAAAGCCTGCAATTCCGTACTGTTTTTTATAATTAATTTTATTGGTACTCTTCTGATATGCACAATAATCACATTCATCATAGGGAATTTGTGCATCTCTGACAGGGTGTTGTTTTGTTGTTCAGGGTGGCCTTGAACTTGTTGTGATCTTCCTGCGTTAGCCTCCCAAGTGCAAGGGTTACAGGTGTGTGCCACCACACCCAGCCTCCAATTCTGTACTCTTAAAAAGGTTTTTAGGGCGGGGGATTTAGCTCAGTGGTGCTGCTGCCTGCCTGACAAACGTTAAGTCCTGAGTTCAATCCCTGGTACCAAAAAACAAAAACAAAACAAAGTTTTTTTATTCTGTTTATCCTCTTCGGGTATATTTTCTATATACCTTTACAATTATATGCACATGTATTTTCTTTTTTTTCAAAATTAGAGTAATATTATCTAAATAATTTCATATCCTTTTTTCTCCATGTCTTTACCCTCTGAAAATATTTTTAACATCTGCACATTTCATTGTATCATGGTTTATTTACACATGTTGGACATTATGAACATCATGTCATTTTTAGGTTTTCACTGTAGTTAGTATGCAGTGAACAACTTTGAACATAGATCTTTATATCTGATTGTTTCCATGAAATAGATTTCTTGTTGAATTATTAGATCATAAAACATCTGAGTATTTTACAGGCTTTGCATAAGAATTGCCTTGTCACTTTCTAAAAATACCATCATTTTTCCTCTTTGAGGGGTTATGTCTGTGTCCATGTTATTGAATCCTTGTTATGATTACATACTATTTTTAAACCTAGAACTACTGGTAACTTATGGGTACTTTAATGATTCTTAGATTAATGATACAGTTAAACATTTTGTTAGTGTCTTTTTGCCTTGTGAATGTCTGGTATTTTTTGCCATTTTTCTGTGTTTTTTAAAAAAAATTGATTTGCAATATTGTTTTATAACTTGTAAATACTCCTGTTTATTATAATTCTTATTTTTTTGTTTTTCTTTTAGTTTTTTAAATATATTTTTAATTTTATTACTAAATGTTTGAAATTCATGCAATTTATAGTCATCTTTTGGGAGTGGTTACATGTACATATTACACCTTGTTTCATTTTTTTATTCTCTTCCACTTCCCCTATCCCCTTTTTTATACTTGTTGATATTATTTATGGCATGTAATATTTACACTAATTAATATAATGTTTACATTAATAATTTACATTATTAGGTACCTGTCCTTTTAGTTTTCTTTATCATATCGTCTCCTAACTTACTTATATTAATACTGGTTTTTAGGATGTTGGTCTCACATTGGAGATCCCCAAGAGTGTCACTATGAAGAATGTGTAGTAACTACCACCCCTTCCTCAATTCAGAATGGAACATACCGTTTTTGCTGCTGTAGTGCAGATTTATGTAATGTCAACTTTACTGAGAATTTTCCACCTCCTGACACAACTCCACTCAGTAAGTAGTTAAAGTGACTTTTCTTTGTAATTCTTTTTTCCAGAGATTTGGAAAATTAAAACATTCAGGGTTAACAAGAGTGAGAAGGAGAATGCCGGCATTATAAAATGATATCTACCTAACATTTGAAATCCAAGAGAGATGCATTAGGACTGGAAAGGCATCAATATATTGCCAATTTAGTTGGAGTCAAAATATAGTACTACTATGGAGGGGAATTTGGCAATATTAAGAAAACTACACTTGTACTCAGTGTCTTGGCTGTAGTCCAGCTGCTTGGGAGGCTGAAGCAACAAGATCACTTGATCCCAGGAGTTCACAGCTAACTTGGGCAACACAGACACTGTGTTTAAATAAGACAAAACAGATCAAAACAAGCATCTCCAGAAAACTAAATGTGTGCTTACTCTTCCACCTTGCATTCCCATTTCTAGGAATTTGTCAAAAGATACATCTTCAATAGTATGAAACTACATATAAATGATTATTCATTGTAGTAGTATTTATAACTGTACAATATTAGAAATTACCTGAAAGTCCAAGAATACTCAGTTATTAAAAAATATACTGTAGGGTAGGGGATTTAGCTCAGTGATACTGCCACCTGCCTCAGAAGTGCAAGGTCCTGAGTTCAGTCCCCAGTACTGCAAAAATAAACAAACAAACAAAAAAACCCCAAAATTATAGTACGTACATGCAATAGAATACTAACAGTATAGCCATTAAAAAAAAATGAGAACAAGAACTTAGATCTCTGTTAATCGACATAGAGTGATTACCAGACATAATGTTAGATGTAAACAAGCATGCCGTATGTAATATACTCTTATGTAAGAGAGAAAGGGAAATAAAAAAGCATATTTATTATCTGCTCATCTTTACAAAAGAAGATAAAAATGGATGTTAGAAAATAACGAAATTAATTACAAGGAATGAAAGCAATGGGGCAGAAAAGGTATGGAATTGAATGACAGTTCTCTGACTACAACTTTTCTAAAAATAAAATTAAATCATTAAAGACTAGAAGGTAGAAAAGGCAAGTGAATCCAGTGGAATGACATATAAATATCATGACCACACTGGAGGGGAGAAGGAAGAACTAATCTAAGTAATTCACAAACATGGTATTTGACTATATTTATATTCTTTTGGGCAAGATGAGATACAAGGAGTCAAATGGAGAATTATAAACAAATCCTGAGCTCTTTTTAGATTTGGCTTATAAGTAGTATGAGCACAACAGTTCTGAAACAATGGTAAGAATAAGAAAATAGTTATGTTCTTGAGCACCAGCATTCTTGTGGAAGAAATATGATAGTTATAGAAGACAAAAGAGAAGCCTATGCAAATAAATTGCAATTAGAGTTATTGGTATGGACGTAGGACTTTTAAAATATGCATATGTATATGTTTCATGTGTGATTATGGCTGTGTATAGTACAGGCATATGTGTATGTGTTAGTACACATAAACATTTATATACACACTTTTTTGGGGGTAATGAGGATCAAATTTAGGACTTCATGCATGCTAAACATGTACTCTACACTACACCCCCAGCCCTTATATATATGTTTCGTATCTATTTGTTAAGAAGGACAAGGAACAAACGTACCCCACAGCAATAATAAGCGTTCATAATGGCCAGATCTTAGTCTCTATCACCATTCTAAACCAACTGAAATGGGGGCTCCCTGAAAAAATGACTGCAGAGAGAGAATAGGATAGCTTCAAGATAAGCATGAACTGTAACACTAGTAAGGAAGGAAAATAGTCACATTGCTTTTGAAATGATTGAAATAGTCCCTCAGTGTTAGATGAGAGTCTGTGTTTCATTATATCTTCCATCTACAGTGGTATTATTTAAACAACACTTTATGGAGATGATATTGAAAAATGATTATCAGTTTTAGTGAAATACATTAGCCTATTCACTGTTGAATTTTCTAATTATTGCTCATTTCTAATTGATTTTAAAAATTTAAAAATTTTAATATTTTTAGAATGTACATATTTATGGGGTATCAAGTGATGTTTCTTTTTTTCATTTTTTCCCAAGTGATTTTTCTTTTTCTTTTTCTTTTTTTTTTTTGGTACCGGGGATTGAACTCGGGGCCTATGCTTGCAAGGCCTCCGAACCGCTGAGCTAAATCCCCGGCCCCTGTGATTTTTCAATACATGTATGAATTAGGTAATATTTAAATCATGTTAAGCATTCTGTTCTCTTAATGATTATTTCTGAACAGTGAAATGAGTTACATTTGAGATAAATGATGTAAAATAGTTTGAACTCTGGTCATTTCACCTCTTAATTTTCTGTTGATACCATTGGGATGGAAGGAGCTACATTTTAAGTGGAAAAAATAATTTAATGTGCATTTCAAAACTTTTATATTGCACAATTTTTGAGCCTTAGCTCTTCTTAATGACAGTGTTAACATCTTTCAATAAAAGTCTAATGCTCATTTTATTGTGTGAAAATTATATTTTAAGATGTTAAAATGTTCATTACTTCATATTCTAGAACAGAGGTAACTGAAACCTTGGCTCTACACCTTGCATACCATTTTTGTGATGGCTGATAAAATCTTTTATTTGCCCAGTTTTTTATACTTTGAAAGTGTTGTCACATCTGTAAACTCTTTTAAGATGTCATCTTAATATTCAAGTAGTTCAAATTAAGTTGAAGGTAGCAAATAAGATGCATACTGGGAGTGCCAGGAGGACTTGCTTGGGCCTACACCGCAGGAAGGATAGCCGCACCCTCCCCTGCTGGGCTGCAACCATCACTCCAGTGCCAGGAGGGCATGCTTAGGCCCAGACCTTGGGACAGGTAGCTGTGCCCTCCCCTGCTGGGCCACTGCCATAGGTCCAGTACCAGGAATGTAGCCGTGTGGGCACCCCTGAGCCCCCGCCACTCTCAGGCCCCTCCTAATTGTGGCAGTCTTTGGACCCATTCTGCAGAGGCAGAGGTGGTCATGAAGGGTATTTTTCTGAGTTCCCAATTTTGAACATCTTTAAAGAAAGGTTGTGGGAAACCTGTAGTAGAACAGTGTGGAGTTTAACTGTTCGGGAGGTCACGGAACTCAATCTGGGCCTTGCAGCCCAAGGTCAGTCTGCGTTATGGGGTTCCACCATCAGCTAGCTGAAATCAGGGGTCTTGGTTCTTCTGCACATGGCTGCACATGTTGTATATTATGACAGCAGAGATATAGTCTGAAAGAGGCCCTTCAAATCCATTTATTTTTCTTTCTTTTACTCATTCCACCCTGCAAATTCTTTCTCTTTTCTGTCCTCTTTCTCCAACTCAGTCTCTTGTTCCACCATATTATCCCTCATCTCCCTTTCTGTTTCTGCTTCTGCCCTAACTCAGATTTCTTCTTTTATCATTTTTTTCTCTTTTCTTTATGTTCTTTTCTTCTGTCATTCTACCTCACACAGGGGACAGTGGTTTCAAAGGAAAGTGATCCCATATTACTATTAAGAGGGTATATTCTTGTGCTTATACTTCTACTCTGTCTATCGCTTTTGAATTTAATAGTTTCCTGAAGATTGTGTGGTCCTTCTATATCCTCTGGCTTCACTTGAAACCTTCTCCAATTCTTTTACTTATCTACTCCTCTCATCTTAGCTCTGTCTGAGCCCCCATCCTAAATGGTACATATACTGTGTTCAAAAGTTTGTTCACTTCAGACATGTTCTGGACTGCTTCTTGATTTCAATTTAATTCAAATGATTTAGGGGTGATAGACTAGTGACTACCAGAGGTGGTCAGTTTCCAAGTTGTGCTTGATCTTAATGTGTTGCTGATTGTATCAGTTGGGATAAAGGATTCTGGTTGATCTGATGAGCTGTTTTCTCTGATGTTATGAAGATGAGAATATCTGTGGGTCGTTAGAGACACAGAAGCTAGGGCGCAGGTATATCAGGAAGATTTGGGTGATAACCCAGAGATTAAACCAAGGACAGTCCAACAACAAAAATAAAAATGAGAAAACACTTAAGCAAGATACAAGGACAGACTTCCAGTTCACTAATGGCAAACAGTAGGGCAAATGAGGACGAAAAGCCTGATTGTGCACCACCAGGACACCCTGAACTCAAAGGACAGGAAGTAACAAAACAGATCAATCAGGCTCTAGAAAAATTCAAAACAGAAATAATTTCCCAGATGAAAATTGAGATGGTGAGTAAAATGAAAGTCATGATTTGAGACTCTGGAACAGAAACTGACAAAAAAATAGATGAGCTCAGGACCATGATAGAAGCCATGAAGGCCCAGCATAAGAAAGAAATGGAAACAATAAATGCCCAATTTAGGAAAGAAATGGAATCCATAAAACAGATTCAAACAGATATCCAGGAGATTAAACACTCCCTTGAAAGTGTATGCAACAGAATAAAAGAATGAGAAGATAGAATCTCAGATATAGAAGCTAAGATTGCAGTCAGTGACCATGAAGAGAGAGGCTCTTACAAACAGTAGGGAATCATGAGAAATCAATCCAACCACTCCTAGATGATGCAAAGAAGAATAACATAAGAATGATACGAATCCATGAAGCAGCAGGAGAAAATACAAATGACTTAAAAAAAGCTATTCACATCATTAATGACAGAAAACTTCCCAAACAGAGGGGAAGAATTTGACATTCAAATAAGTGAGGCATATAGGACCCCAACTAGCTACAATCAAAAAAAATCTACACCTAGACATATAATAATCAAGATCCCAGAAACCCAACAGAAGCACAAAATACTACAAGCAGTAAGAGAAAAGAAACAAATCACATACAAAGGAAAGCCCATCAGAATCACAGCAGACATTTCAACACAAACCCTTAGGTCAAGAAGAGCCTGGAGTGAAGTATTTCAAGTACTAAAAGGAAACAACCTTCAACCCAGACTGACGTATCCTGAAAAACTCTCTTTCAAAATGGATGGGGAAATAAGATACTTCCATGACAAAGAACACCTGAGAAAATACATGAATGCCAAAC